GTTTTCCCTGGGGCTCTCTCCCAGTCTGTCTCCTGGCTGAATGTGGTGAGGGAGGGTCAGGGATGCCCTGCTGAGGTTGGGGTTCGGGGATGGAATAGCCCTCAGATCCACCCACCCAGAGCACGTGGCTGGAGCAGCCAGGGAGACCACAGACTTGGCCACGAAACAGACCCAGACACAAGGCACTTGTCTGATCTGTGGCTCTGAGCTCTGGGTGTGACCCCGGGCAGGGGTACAAAGGAGTCTCTGTCAGTGCGGGGCACGGAGCCCACCTGGGCCAGGCCAGGCGCTGGAGGAGTGAGCGCGTGGGCCTTGGGGTGTTTGAAGAGAGAAAGCTTGAAGTCACTGACCTGAGGTTTGAGTGTCATCTGGGGCAAGTCACTTCCTGTCCTTGACCTGTCTGCTCACCTGTAAAATAGAATCTGAATCCCAGCCTCCCAGAACTAGCTGCATTGTCAGGACTGACTTTGTTGACAAAGCTTCACCTTCCTGGAATCGTGTATTTCTAAATATTATTTAACAAGCACACATACTGATCACCAGGTACCTGTGTCCTAAACACTGTAAAAACATTGACTCATTTAATCCCTGTGAAAACCCTCTAGGAAAGATACTATTTTATCCTTGAATCTGCCTGCAATATGAGAAGACCCATTCTTTGGTTGGGAAGATCCCCTGTAGAAGGGCATGGCTGCCCACTCTAGTATTCTTGCTGGAGAATTGTCCATGGAGAATTCCATGGACAGAGGAGCCTGGGGGGCTACAGTCCATGGGGTTGCAAAGAGTTGGACATGACTGAGCGACTAACACTACAGATGGGGAAACTGTGGCACAGAGGTGGCCAAGGTCACACAGTTGGGAAGTGGCAGGAGTAGGACTTGAACCCAGTGTGGGGATATACCTATACTATGCTGTTTCCCTACAGGAAGGGGTGAGTATCCCTTAGGCCAGGGAGCCCAAGCACAGGGTGGGGGACCCGATTCTTCATCAGGGATGGAAGGGGACTCAGGAACACCTCTGCCTTGGGGCGCATAACCGTGCAATGTCTCCCCTCTCAGGGTCTGGCCCCTAGGACAGGGCTATGAGTGATCAGAGGCCCAGGACAGGAGAAGAGGGTGGAACAGGGAGTTACAGGAGCAAGTCACAACCCTGCCACCTTTGGCCCAGTCGTGGGAGCAGCTGTGACCCGCAAAGGCTGGGGTAGGTTTGGTATGCCTTCAGCTAGGACTGGTCATACCTGTGGGGTGCCGGACTTGGAGCCACGTGGTTGGAGGAAGGCCAGGGTCTGGCTGGATATAAAGCACAGACATAGAACAGAGTCGGGGGCTTCCACCAAGGGGCTGAGGGTGCTGGAGAAACAGAGCCCCACAGCGTCAGGACTTTCAGTCTTCATGGAAAGCCTATGAGCAGGAGCGGAACCTGACTAAAAAAGGAGGCGGGGCTTAACCAGGCTGAGGTCAAAGAAGCCGGTAGCTTACATCCTAAGCAGCAGGTGATCCAGTGTGGGCGTGGCTCAGGATTGGACGTGGAGAGCTGTGAGTGCCAAGCTCTGAGCTGGTACTTACTCTTCCAGAGGCATCTCTAGGCCTGTCTGCTCTTCGGAATCACCTGGATGCTTGTTAAAAAGGCAGACACCGAGCCTCACTCCAGATTCTGAATCTGAATCCCGGGGATGAGGGCCCAGCCCAGGATGCCTGACAAGCTCCCCGGTGATGCTCACCTAGCCAGGCACTTGGGAAAACTGCCGGGTGATGGCTTCTTACCCTTGGCTGTGCATCAGAACCACCTGGACAGAACTGAAAATTCCTGGTGCCCAGGCTGCATCCTGGACAAATTCCATCAGAATCTCTGGGGAGGAGTCCCATCATTTTCAAAGCTGACCAGGTGATTCCAGTGAGCGGCCATAGTTGAGTATCTCTGAGCAGCCCTGACCCTTGTCTCAGGCAGCTCTGGGCTGAACTGTGCCATCCTCAGAGAGTCCTTCCCTGGCCACTTGTTCTCCCTGACATTGTGTGTTTATCCACTTATTGACCTCACCATCCTCCTAGATTGCAAGCTCCATGAGGGCCCCTTAAGACTTTTGTTCACTGCTGCATCCCCTAGGCATAGAATGGAGGGCCTAACATACAGAAGGTGTTCAATGGGTGTTTATTGAGTGAATTTATCGAGTCCCTCCTCTGTGCCAGGCCCAAAGGGAGATACTCTCCATATATCATCTCGATTTTCCCAACAACTCCACAAGGTAGATACTTTTGTACCCATTTTACAGATCAGAGAGATGAAGTGACTTGCCCAACCCAGGTTCTGTCCTGGGCCCTGAACTCCCTCCCAGCCAAGGGCTTTGGGCAGCCCCTGCTGTGGAAGCAGCCTGACAGCCTGGAGACTGAACGGAGGGCCTGGGGGACCTGGGGCATGTTGACTCAGCCCATCCCCAGGGCGTTTCTTGGAAGCTCTCTGCTGGTTTTGAAAGGCCTCCTTCATGGCCTGCAACGGCCGTGTGCTTCCACCCACCCGACTGATTTGAGAGGAGGACTCCTTGATGCGGTCGGCAGCTGCTCCCTGGCCAGCAAGATGGACCATGGCCATCCCACCATCTCCCTCAGCCAGTGTGCTCGGAGGCTCTCCCCTTCCTCCTGCCCCAGGTGACCCTGGATTCCCAGGGTCATTCTCAGTACCCCCCTGCCTTCATTCTTCTGAGGTTAGCATGCATTAGGTTCAGTTACTTATACTGAGGAAGAGAGGAAGACCTCAAGGTCCAGGGAGGTGGGAGAACTCTGCTGGACAAACTAACCAAAGAAAAGCATCAGGAAATGAAGGGTGGGTTGGGGAAACTCAAAGATCTAAATTTCCTTAGGGTTGATCCTGGCTGGTAGTCAGGGCCTCTCCTGGCCTTTTCTGAATGCAGCTCTTTAAGTAGGAAGGAGGGTAGCCAAGGTCCCAGTTAGGACCCCTGGGCCCTCAGCCATTCCTTCTCTTCCATGGGGCAGTATGAGCAAATCCCCCCAGTAAGCTGACTGCCTTCTATCCTGCTGCTGTTGCAATGAATATTCTGGGGAGGGGGCCACCCCTGCTGTGGACACCCCAGCCCCCAGCCTCCTCTCCTCCTGCTCCAGCCTCTCCTACAAAACCCAGGTAGCTTTGCCCAGCTGGGTGAGGAGGTTGAAATAATTTCCTTTGTGTTGGCAACGAACACAAGTTGGATATAACTCTGGACTAGGGAAGACTGGGGACGGGCTGGCAGCCTTGAGCGGCAGGATGATGGGCAGGAGGGGAGGGGTCTAGTCTGGATATGCAGACGGGCACCATGTGTTGGGAGAGGAGATTATTTGTAAGGTTTCAGGGGTCCCACCCAGGCCCGTTTGTCTTTCCTCTCTTTTTGCCCATTAGTTTCCATTGCACAACTGTGGGGAAGTTCTTTCTGCAGTCTTACCACTGTCCCTCCTGCTTTAACCAACAATGTCACCCCCTCACATCATAATGGCTCTTTATAGCCTGCAAGGTGTTTTCTATTTGTTGTCTTATTTAATCTTCTCAGTTGTCAGCCTTGGGTTAGGGGAGTTATTAGTTATTGTTAGCCCCATTTTATAGATCAGGAAACTGAGATGTCGGGAAAATGGCCATGTTCCCAGTCACAGGTCAGTAAGTGGCAGAGTTATATGCAAGTGCTTGTTACTCTGGTTTTCATGAGGCACCTCTCCCCAAATTACTCTTACAGACACACACATACCCTAAACCCCCAGCTCCTCTCTCTTCCATGTCACCACAATTCAGAAGTAGCCCAGGCCTGAAAAGGTCATGCTGTCCATGCCCCTGCCTCTAGGCCAGTGCAGTGGAGCCTCCATGGGGCCCATATCTGGAGCTCATCCGGCTATGGTCCAGGAGAGGGTGATGGTGGCAAAGGCGGGGGAGTTGAGGGTGTCAGCTGCTGCTGCTTCTTTTTGAGCAAAGACTTTTAAAGGTTAATGTGATAATCTCATCCTGATTACTGCAAACTGAGGACCTCATGCTCATCCAAGAATCTATTGCTAGTCATGCAGGAGAAGGGGAGAGACTGCGCGGGGTCCACCCCACCTCCCCACCGCCATCCTCACGCATGTTGAGGGGGACCGAACCTTTCGGTTTTATGTTTTGTTTTTAGTGGAAAGAGGTATTTCTAGATTGTGGTAAGGATGCTTTGGGTCTCCCTACTTCAAAACCTGGACCAAGGGATCCCAATCCTTCCCTTTTACATCTAAGTTACTGTTCTAGGAGGGGCTGCTGGTGGGTCTGGATGCAAGGCCAGAGGTCACAGAAAATCAGGGACCTGGGAGGTCATCACACCCCCCCACCCCATCTTCCCTGCTGGGCAACCAAGGCCGGTTGCTGTTGTTCCACATCACACCTGCCCAGAAGTAAACCAATTAGCACTGTGTCTGGTTCTGTGTTCCCAGCGCCTGTCTCATTATTTGGGGATTTATGCCTCGGTCACCGTGAAGGACAACTGTCCCGGTTTCCACTGGGGGGAGCCCGGCCAGCCATAGAGCCCAGCGGGCAGCAGGAGGTGGTGCTGTCCTGCTTGGGGGCAGGATGGGGATTTAATTTCAGGGGGATTTGCAAGCAGTGGGGAGCCGCCCTGGGCACATGGTGGCTTCGGGCTATTTTAGGAGGCAAAAGGCTGGCCCTGTGGGGGGAGGGCTCTCAGCCTTTTGTGATTCTGCCCTTTCGGTGGGAATGGGGAGGACCTGGGATGGAGGAAGCAAGCCCCGCTGAGGTCGGGGCTTCTCCCACCTTCCTGAAACTCAGGGCCCCAGAATGAGTCTGTATTTCCAACCCCAGGTGGGGCAGTGGGCAGAACACAAGCTGCTGACCAAGTAGAGGTCTTTGGCTCCTCTCCTGAGCCCCTCTGTTCTAGGCTTTCTAACTGGGGCCCTTGGTGTTATTAGAAGGAACAATTAATAAATATAGCCATCTCATAGCTTTGTGATAGGAATTACATTTACCGAGCGCTTAGGGAAGGCCCCATGGCACAGGGAAAAGGGCACAAGCTTAAGGCCAGACACACCCGGCTCCCGTTCTGTATGGGCCACTTCCAAGCTGGTAATCTGGGTTATGTAAGTCCTTTCACCTCTCTGAGCCCCAGTGCCCTGTCTCTAAAGCAAGGACCATAACGCCTCATTAATGACGCCTGTGTTATTAACTGGGCACAAATTATGTCAGGCACACTGCAGGGATGATCTCTCATCACCCTCTGCCATGTTATGATGTGTTAATTGTCCTGTTTTACAAATAAGGAAACTGAAGCTCAGAGAGGGAAAGGAACTTGCTGCGGCCCACACAGCCAGAGCAAGGAACCTGATCCGTTTTCTGTGCCCACAGTCAGGGTTGGTTCATTCCTTAAATCCAGCAATATGTGTTGGTTGCCTTTGATGTGCCGGCACTGTTTTGGGCTGGGGATTTATCACGGACCAAACAGAGGAAACAGAGGGACTTCCCTGGTGGTCCAGTGGCTAAGACCCTGCACTCCCAGTGCAGGGGCCGGGGTTCGATCCCTGGTCAGGGAACTAGATCCCGTATGCCACAACTAAAAGTTCCCACATGCCACAATGAAGAACAAAGATTCTGTGTGCCCCCCTCCACAAGCAGCCAAATAATAAATAATTTTAAAAAACACAGACGAAGAGGAGATAATGGGATGAGACTGAGCAGTAGGGAGAACTGAGTCGGCCAGTTAGAGACACAGTGGCTTTATTTAGGCTGAGAATTATTTTCTGATGGTGTTGTCCAGGGAGGGTGATAACTAGGGGATGGAACCCCTCCTTGGAAGATGTCAGGTGGGAAAGGGAGCGCCAGCACCCCAGCACCTCCAGCTGTCAGGACTAGGAAAAGGGTTTCTGTGTGGTCTTCCTCCTCACCCCACATTTATAGGAAAAAAGTCTGGGTGTGCTGGGATAAGGCGCCATGAGACAGAGGGAAGAAGGCCTAGTGTTTAGAGTCAACCAGATGGGGTTCAGTTTCACCCCTTTCCAGCTGTGTGACCTTGGGCAGGTAAACTAACCTCTCAGAGCCTCCCTTTCCTTATCTTAAAAAAAAAAACTATTTATTTATTTTTGGCTGTGCTGGATCTTCGTTGCTGTGCACAAGGGTTTTTCTCTAGTTGTGACAAGCAGGGGCTACTCTCCGTTGAGGTGCGTGGCCTTCTCATTGCTTGCAGAGCACAGACTCCAAGTGGGCGGGCCTCAGTAGCTGTGGCACATGGACTTAGTTGCTCCTCAGCATGTGGGATCTTCCTGGACCAGGGATTGAACCTGTGCTTCCCCCATTGGCAGGCGGATTCTTTACCACTAGGCCGCTAGGGAAGCCCCCTTTTCTTATCTTTATAGTGGGGAGAGGAATGCTGACTTTTCAGGGCTATTTGAGAGGAGAAAATGGATCAATAAAACTGTGGGAAGGGGCTGGAAAACAGAAGGCTCACGGCTAGGAGCTGTGCTGTGTGTGTGTGCAGGGTCGGAGTTCAGGGGCGTGTTATCCTGGTGTATCTAGGTGAAGCCACGTCTTTGTGGTGGCACTCAGCTGGCACCTGTGCTCCTGTTGAATGATTTCAACAGGCCGGGCAGAACAGGAGAGCCAGCAAGCCTTAACACAAGGTCTGGTGCTCACAGTGCTAGAAATTGCTCTCTGGATGACTAGATGGGGAGGCTGAGCTCACCAGCAATGACATGAAAATAAATGAGGTTTCATGAAGCCTCGGCTCTCTATAGAGCTGACTCGGAAGTGCAGAAAAATTAACAGTGGGCAGCATTAATAGAGGACAGAATAGAGGGTGGGGGGAGGTTATTCTCTCCCTGGCTCTGTCCTAAGGAGGTCATTGAAAGCCTAAATACATTTAAGAGGGATATGAGTGGGATCATAAAACCTCTGGAGACAAGTTTTATTGAGTTGAGTGGTTCAAGTCACTTGGTTCACCATGCAGGGTACTGAGCAGAGGGAAATGAATAAAGGCCCAGAACTAGCCCCCTCAGCACAGTGGTATAGCCTGGGCAAGGTCTGGGGGGCACGGTTCAATACAGCATGATAAGTGCAATGTTCGAGTCCCATACAAGATGCCCTAGGAGCATGTAGGAGGGGCTTCCTGGAGGAGCTGGCCATGTCAGGGGAAGAACAGCTGAGGGAAATGGGACTCTTTCACTGAGTGGAGAGATCCCTGAAGAAGACGCTGCCAGCGAAGCTCAGCTGGCTGTGGAAGGTGGGGTGGGCTTTTTCTGCATTACCAAGAGAGCAGATCTGGGCTTCCCCAGTGGCTCAGCTGGCAAAGAATCCGCCTGCAACGTGGGAGACCTGGGTTCGATCCTTGAGTTGGGAAGATCCCCTGGAGGAGGGAACAACTACCCACTCCAGTATTCTGGCCTGGAGAATTCCATGGACTGTATAGTCCGTGGGGTCGCAAAGAGTCGGACATGACTGAGTGACTTTCACTAAACTACTAGGGAGCAGATCTAGAACCCGTGCATAGGCATTACAGGAAAGCAACTTTCAGCTCCCATATTGATGGGCTTACTATCCTTGAGACCCTCCATCAGTGGGACGGGCCGTCTCGTGAGGCAGTGAGTGCCCCGTCATCAGCACGTTCAAGCAAAGGCCAGAGGGTAACTCATCGGGGACAAATTTCAAAAGGGACAGGATGACCTCTAAGATCCCTTCCAGGTCTGAGCAACTGCATGCAGTTTGCCATGGGCAGACACAGGTTGTGGACCATGACAGAGAGAGATGTGATTGATCAAGTTAGAGGGTGAGTGTGTGTGGCTGCACTTGCCAGCTATTGTCATGCTCCACTCTGCGCTTATTGGTTTCTGAGTAGCCCCTTCACTGAGATACGTCACATACCATACGATTTGCCCGTTTAAAGTGGACATTTTAATGTGGCTTGACTCTTGGAGTGGAAATGAATTCATGCATTCATTCCACAACTCTTTATAGAGCATTTATAGAGCTTAGTGCTGGTGCTTCCAATACCTGGAAAATAAAAGCCCTTCCCCCAGGAGACAAGTAAGCGTCCAGGCAGAAGCATTGCATCTTGGGAGATGTGCCAAGAGCAAAAATAATCAGGGCCTGGGATAAAGAGTAACCAGGCTGGGGAAAGGGGGTCCTGGGGAAGTGATAGTGGAGTTGAGGCCTGAGTGGCAAGGAAAAGGCCTTGTGAAGATCAGGAGAGAGTTCCAGGCTGAGGGAACAGCAGAGACCTCAAGACAGGAGTGAGTTGGTAGACATGAGAACCAGGAAGAAGTGCCGGGAGCTAGCAAGTGAGACATCACAATGGCGCCCCGTGGTGAGAACTCCTCTCTGGAAGGCCTGTTTCACATGAAGCCTGGCCGGAGCGTGACATGGTGAGAACAGCACTGGTGCATCTTCTTTAATACAAGAGCCATTCCCGTTGCCTTTCCTTGAGACGCTCCAGTAATGGAATGATGGCAGGTGCTGTTAGGAAGTTATGCCATCAGCCCCTGCCTCCTGCCCTCCTCTGCTTGGCTTCGTTCTCCTGTCTCATGCCCCAGTGTGGGCCAGAGCCAGTGCACTGATTCCCTGGGAAGAATCAGAAATGATCCCCAGCCACATACACCGGTGATGTTTCCCCAACAGGCCCACTGATTTAATCCCCTGACCTCTGGACAACCTGGAGTCTTCCATTCGGTCCACACTTCATGTGTGACTTTGAGCCAGCTACGTAACATCCCCAATCTTTCATCTCCTGGTCTGTAAAATGGGGATCAAACCAGTCTGGGGCAAGTTGTTATGAGGATTGAATGCCATCCCTCTTGGCAATCAGGAGGTACTCCATGAATGTCAGCTTCCTTTTTCTCCCTGAGCTTCCACCCAAAAGAGGGGCTGGTTTACAAAAGGGTAGGGAAGGCTTCCCAGGTGGTACTAGTGGTAAAGAACCCGCTTGTCAAAGCAGGAGACGCTGGTTTGATCCCTGGATCAGGAAGAGCCCCTGGAAGGGCATGACAACCCACTCCAGTATTCTTGCCTGGAAAATTCCATGGACAGAGGAGCCTGGTGGGCTACAGTCCATAGGACTGAAGCGACTTAGCATGCACTGGCAGGGAAGGTCACAGCAGGCCAGTAGGGGGTGGCCAGTTTGGGGTCCCCTCCCCCCAACCCTGGGACCCTTTGGAAGGTGAGGGGCACTCAGGACTGGCCAGCCAGGGGTAGGGAGGATACTCACCAATGGGTCCAGCCCTGCCGCCAGGAGAGCCCCTGGGTCTCCCCTCGTCTGCTTCCCGGGGAGCCCCAGCGCCAGGCCACTCTCCCGACCCGCTCGCCTGCGCTCCTCTCCGGGCGGCGCGGCCCCTGGCACCTGCTCCCCGTGGGCCGCCCAGGGGCGGGCTCCGGGGACGCGGCGGCTGCACCGGGACGCGCGGGCCCCGGACTCATCCGCCGCGCACCTCCGGGAGCCGGGAGCCAGGAGCCGCGGAGAATCCGGACCGCCCCGGGCGGCCGCGGACGACTGGATGCGGCCCCGCTCGGGTCGGAAGCGCCCTGCAGGTAGGCGCGGGCGCGGTTGGTAGGACCCCACTCCCGGCTCCCCATCCCAGACCGACCGCCGCTGGGACTGAGCGCCCAAGGGGGCCCGCGCGCGGGCTGGATGTGTAAGTGTCTCTGTAGGGCTGGTAGCAGCAGCGAGGACCCTATCCTGCCTTGTGTGTTGTGAAGGTGGGCGACAAGAAATCACGACTTAACCGGAAACCGAGGCTGGGAGGGGGACAAGGGTGATGGCCAGAACTCTGAGCTCCCAGGAAGTAGGGGAAGGGAGGCTGGCGACCACAGGCCAGGGACAGCGAGATATCCCGAGAAGGGGAGCATTCTCCACAGACAGGGGGCTCAACCACAGAACCTACCTTTTTTGTCTAAGTTCTTTAGAGACTCCAAAAATCAACTCCCACCCCATCAGCCCCTGAGACAGAACAGAAAGGAAGGGGTGGGGGGGGTGGGAGACCTATTGTCTTTTGGGGGTGGGTGGGTGCAGAGTACACTCATCCCGCCCCACGCCCCCACCCCCATCTCCATTATTCACAGTGGTTGGAGGCCGCCTTGCCTGCCCCTCCTCCTTCAAGTAGAATGCCTCCTCTTCTGCCAGGATCAGAGGCTGAGGGTGGCCCTCCTGGCCTTTGTGGGAGGCAGGATTCCGCCTCACCCCCATCCCCCAACAAAGCTCAAACAGTCCCCGGACCTCTCAGTCCTCCTCCCTCCAGCTCTCTCTCTTGGACTCATTCTCTCAGCCCCATCTTGGAAGTGCTGACCCTGGGGCTATCACGATGGGGAGCCTGGTGTGGGGGAGCTAATGTTCAGTCTTTTGGGGAGTTGGGCCGGGAGAGCAGGCAGTGGATGAGGCTGAATTGTGCCAGGGTCCTGGCAGGGGGCTTGCGGGAGGGGTGTCTCCTGTTCAAATCAGGTTCCTAGGCCTTGCCTGGCCACAGAGGTCAGAACAGGGGACACTGAGGCTAATCCCCCGCCCCCACCTTAGAGGCAGCTGTTCTGTGTTGCCACTGTGGGCCCTATGAGGAGGGATGCAGCTTAGATAACAAGAAAGACTTCCTTCCGGAGGGTGGCCAGAGGATCTTTCAGGGGAGTACCAGTGTCCAGGAGAGGCAGCACTTATCTTTGGGGTGTCTGGGGGGAAGGAGGCCCTCTGGGACTCGCAGCCAATAGGAGGTGAGGATAGCCTGGGGGATGGTGACCTCACCTCTGGACCATTGCTCTCCGTCACCTCTCATGCCCTCTCTCTTGCTTCCTTGGAGCCGTAGTGTTGACTTTCAGCACCACTTAGCCAGCTCACTCCTGAAAACCCCAGCACCCAGCCGTCCCCAGGGAAAGGTGAGAGGCTTCATCTCTCATCACTTCGGATGGGATGACAGACATGGCTGCCTTGGTTTGTCCAGTGGATCCCTCCCACCCCCACCCACAGCAGCAGACACCTGGACCAGTTGTGGCCCAGCCCCGGGGCTTCCTGCCTGGCAAAGTAGGGATGTGTGGGCTGGGGGTGAGCGTGGCTGCCCCCACTAGGGCCATCCCACTCCTCTAGGTGGGAGTCTTTGACTCCTTTGGGGAGTCTTGGATATGACTGTGGGTGACCCCAGCCCTCTGGGCCATCTCCTGGGGGGTGCTGCTCTGTGGGGGCCACAGAGTGAAGGGGATTGTCACCCTTCCTCACCCTGCAAAGTGTCAGCCTTGGGAGAGCAGAGTGCTTGGTGGTGGCTCCTTGGGGACTTGCGGGGGGCAGCCAGGCCCAGGAGGGCTCACATTCCACCAGGACAAGAACAGACGAGGCCTCTCTTCTTCCAGACACGACCCCACACTCCCACCTGTGACCCTGTGAGTGATGGGATGGGGCTGCCAGGCTATGCACTCCTTCCCCCTGCATCATAGGATGAGGCCTGTTGTTTCAATTGTGAGCCTCAGTTTCCTCATCTGTAGAGCCTCACAGCGTTGCTCTGAGGGTTAACAGAGGTGATGTCTGTCCAGTGCCCAGAAGGCAATGGGCACTCGCCACAGGGCAGTTCTTTCTCTGTCCCCACCCCGCCTTCCTCTGGCCGCTGAAACAGACAAATACAGCTTGGTGTCCCCCCGCCACCCCATCCTTAGAGGCAGCTGCTCCATGTGGCCACTACAGCACTGCCTGCAAGGGACCTAAGAGATTAGCCCAGCCCAACCCCCTCTCTTTAAAGACAGGGAACTGAAGCCCAGAGGGGCAGGGACTGGCCCGAGTTTGGCCAGCCAGCCAGGCTCCCTTCTCAGAGGCAGGGCTGGGGACCTGACTCAGGGAGGTGAAGGGTAGATATTGGCAGACCTGGGGGAAAATACCAAAGTGTAATTGGGCTTATTAAGGATTAGGTGAGGGAGCCCTTCATGCCCTGTCAAAGGCTGGGGACAAGCCTGGAACCCTCCTCTCCTGTTAACCCTTTGGCAAAGACAGGTCTTCCCCAAGAACTCCCTTCCCCAGGATGCAACAACTCCCTGCCCTGCACTCATAGCCTTCGAAGTTCTTTCTCTGTAGCCATCTTAGGGTAGTGCAGTGCCCAAGGACGCCACTGAAACCCAGGGCACCGAAGTCCACGGTCACCCAGCAAGAAGGGGTGGAAGTGGGCTCTGGAGCCATACCTGAGTGCTCCCTTCCCCCAAGCCCCCTCTACCTCCACGAGGACAGACACACAGACAGCAACCTCGTGTGTGTGCTAAGTCGTGTCTGACACTTTGAGACCCAATGGACCATAGCCCTCCAGGGTCCAGCAAGAATACTGGAGTGGGTAGCCATTCCCTTCTCCAGGGGATCTTCCCGACCCAGGGATTGAACCTGGCAGGCAGGTTCTTTACCACTAGCGCCACTGGGAAGACAGCCACCTTGGTCTCCATCAACTCTCCTGCGCTGGCATGAGCCTGCCTTCAAGTGGGTGGCTCCCTCCCTGGTCCAAACCCCACCCCCCTACCCCCCTGCTGCAGGAAGGTGAGAACAGAGGGAACTTTATCCTCTTCCCATGTAAATTACAGACAGACAGACACCTGAGCGCACCCATGCTCTTTTTCTCTGCTTTCACCAGGACTTTTCCTGAATTAAGTCCAGTTCTCCCCCTGTCTTCATACCCTCTCCTCCTAGCCTCTCTGGCTCTGGCCCCCTCTCCCTGCCCAGGGGGTTGGCACCTCCCTGCCTGGCATCTGGGATGGTAAGGGCTGGGCAGCCCTGAGCCTCCCTAGGAGCCCTTCTTTGCATCCGCAGTCCCCCTCCCCATCCAGCAGTTCAAAGCAGGGCATAACAGGCTTTAAAGTGAGAAAGAAAGTGAAGTCGCTCAGTCATGTCCGACTGTTTGCAACCCCATGGACTGTAGCCTACCAGGCTCCTCCGTCCATGGAATTTTCCAGGCAAGAGTACTGGAGTGGGTTGCCATTTCCTTCTTCAGGGGATCTTCCCTACCCAGATATCGAACCCAGGCCCCCTGCATTGGGAGTTCAGAATCTTAGCCGCTGGACCACCAAGGAAATCCCCAGAAGCAGCTCTTACACTGCCTGTCCATGTAGTTTGAAGCAAGTCCTCTCCCCTGCTCTGGGACTCAACTTCCTCTTCTGTTAAAGAGAGCATGTTCTGTCCAAATGTGGGTCCAGTGAGGGTGAGTCATGCTGGTTCTGAATAGGAGCCAGCACAGGGTGTGCTGACCTCTTAATGCTCACAGCAGGGGTTAGACCGACATGTGTGTGCCATAAAAACTGCCCACCCCTCCACATTTCTGGCTAGGAGCCGTGGCTGAGCTGGAGCTCCCGAGAGGACAGCTGGGAAGCCTGTGTTAGGCAGGGCAGGCTGCAGCAGGCCCAGCAACCTGGCTGGTGGGTACACAATTAGCCCCGGAATCCAGGCGGGCCCTGTGAGCCCAGAGGCAGTATATCATGGGGGTTTAATCAGCCCCATGGCAGATATTTGTCTGCTCTCTTGGACCATATCCTGGGCCTGCCTGTCATAAACTGCACTAAGATTTCAAAATACCACTGTCCCCCTGTTGCTGGGGCAGCCTGCTCTCCTGAAGACTCTTTCCCCTATCTGATTGCACCACCCCCCACTCCCATACTCATACCTGGTACTTCTTCCTGGTCCGCTTTCCTTCTGAGAGAGCAGGGGAAGACTTGTAAAGGCAGGAGAATAGCTGTGATGACCTCCATCTAGAGGTGAGAGGATGTAGAATCTTACAAGGTGATGGAGCGACTTTCCCGTGTGCCCTCTGAGGGCAGAGCGGTTCCTTGGACTCCAGACATGATGCCCAGGAGTTTGTTATGGCCCAGAGGGCAACCTATTTGTCTCAGAAGTGTGGAGGAGTGGAGTCTACCCTCCCGGGTCGGAGTTCTACCTCTTATCTTCCCGCTGGCCGCTAGCTGCGCTATCTGGAGGCTATCTCTGGTACTGCAATCCCACCAAACCTGCCTGTAGAAGCAGCCCCTCCTACCGCCCTGGTTTTCATACGGTGTCCTCCCGTGTGCATGTGCGGTGCTGTGCTCAGTCGTGGCCGACTCTTTGCGACCCCATGGACTGAAGACCACCAGGCTCCTCTGTCCATGGGCTACTCTAGGCAAGAATACTTGCCTAGAGTGGAGTGGGTTGTCATTTCCTCCTCCAGGGGATCCCCCGACCCATGGATTGCCGCTCTGTCTCCTGCATTGGCAGATGGGTTCTTTACTATTTGTGCCACTTGGGAACTCTGTGCATGATTGTGTCCACATTTCCCCCTTTTATAATAATACCAGTCATACGGGGTTAGGGGCCCACCCTAACTCCATCTTAACCTAACTAATAGCATTTGCAATGACCTTATTTCCAAATAAGGTTGTATTTCATATTCTGAACTGCTGGAGATTAGGATTTCAACATACAACTTTGAGGTGGGGACAGATGTTCAGTGACAGTCTCATTCCATGAGCTGGGCACGATGACATCTGCACCATGACTCAGCTACACTCTGACATGCATGAGGGACACAGATTCGCCTCAACAGACAACAGGGTAACCGAGACATTCACAGTGACCCAGGTACACCGTGATAGACACATAGGGTGACAGACAAAGGGACTCCATTCACAAGCTGCAAAACAAAGACACATCCAAGATTAAAAAGAACCGATGTTTACAGGACCCTGAGAGGTATTTTACAGAGAGCAGCTCGTCTAATCCTCACGATGTCCATGACTTGGGAACTGCTCATCACCCCATTTTACAGATATACAAATGAGAGGACTGAGGCTTCAGTCACACAGCCAGAAAGTGACAGAGCTGAGATTTGAAACCAGGTAGGAATCTACACAGAGCTCATGCTGTTAATTGCTGTGCCACTCTGCTCCATTCACTCACAGTCCCCACAGTCGTGATGACAGCCGATTTTGTGGGAACATTGCCCACAGAAGTGACAATCAGTTTACTAAGAGCAGAGGGTGGGGTCCAGGGACTACAGGCAAGGTTCTTGGCTGTGAACTTGAAAAATTAATTTGCTTTGTTCGGATGTGGGCTTCACCACTAGGCGTGTGCCCTTATGGGAATGTTACGGCATCGCGTGACTTCAGTGGGTCTGATTTGCAAAATGAACACAAATCTAAAGACACAGGAAATGCCTTTTAAGAGGATGTATTAGTTTGCCCAGGGCTTCCCAGGTGGCGCTAGTTGTAAAGAACCCTCCTGCCAGTCCCTGGGTGGGGAAGATCCCCTGGAGGAGGGCATGGCAATCCACTTTAGTATTCTTGCCTGGAGCATCCCATGGACAGAGGAGCCTGGCGGGCTATGGTTCATGGGGTTACAAAGAGTTGGGCACAACTTAGCAACTTAGTACAGCACGGCAGCACATTAGTTTGCTCAGGCTGCCATAAAGAACCACAGACTGAGTGGCGTAAACACCAACTATTTATTTTCCCCCAGTTCTGGAGGATAGAGGTTTGGGTTCAAGGTGTAGGGTTGGTTTCTTCTGAGACCTTGTTCCTTGGCTTGCAGACAGCCATCTTTTTCCTGGGTCTTCCCATGGTCTTCCCTCTGTAACTGTGTCCAAATTTCCTTTTTGGCTGCTCCATGAGGCTCATAGAATCTTAGTTTCCCGATCAAGTATTGAACCCACACCCTTGGCCATGAGAGTGCAGTGTCCTAACCACTGGACTACCAGAAAATTTCTGAAATTTCCTCTTCTTAGAAGAGCACCAGTCATATTGAATTAGGGACCACTATAATGACCTCATCTTAACTTGATTACCTCTTTAAAGGTCCTCTCTCCAAATACAATCACATTCTGAGGTACCAGGAGTTAGGACTTCAAGTCATGAATTTGCGGGGAGAGACGACAGGGGTCACTGGGCACAATTTTGCCCATATAAGAGAAATGGGCTCAGTCACTCCTCACTCAGGCCCTAGCCTTGGGGTGGCCCCAGTGTGGGGGAGAGACACAGTTCCTGACCTCAGGAATCCTCTGTCCTGGTGGGGGAGACACAGGCCCTGCCCTCAGGAAGCCCCCAACTGAAGCAGAGGCAGGAAATATGCACACAGATTCTGGAAGGAAGTGAAAATCAACCCAGTTCAGTCTGAGGAAGGTCATGGGGCAGAACAGAGGCAGTTAGAGGCAGAGAAGTCTGGTGGGGAAGGTTCAGAAAAGGGAGTCAGAAAGGAGAAGGGGAGGGGCCTGGAGGGGTGGTGTGCATGCTCTGCAGGGCCCAGGGGTGTGTGTGTGTGTGTGTGTCTGTGTGTGTGAAGGGGCTGAATGTTCAGCAACTCAGGCAGCAGGGCCCAGGTTTCCACTGAAAACACCAACTGTCGCCAGAGCCCGAGCGGCCAACACTGCAGGGGGTATCGGGAGCCACGTGGAGAGGGGTGGGGATGGCTTCACAAGCTGTCACTGTGTCACCGTGTGTGAATGTCACTGGCGCTGGGCACTGGGAGGCTGGGTTTCTGTAGTCCCTCCTCTGGCCGGCGGCTCCTGCGTCTCCACCAGGTGCCACGGGCCTGCCTGTCCCACGATTGTCCGTGCCTGACCTGTGGCAGGGGCTGAGAACAGGGCTGCAGGGTCCCCCAAATGTGACTCTACCAGCCTCCCTGCTGCCTCTCCCTCAATTCTGTGAGACCCAGTCTCCCCCTGAGTGTTTTACTCTGAGTCCCCAAGCGTCAGGCTCCCAGTGTGTGACCATTTCTTTTGTTTTAAACCTTTTTTTTTATTTTTTAGAATATTTATCTGACTACAACAGGTCTTAGTTGCAGCATGAGGGATCTAGTTCCCTGACCAGGATTGAACGCTGGCCTCCTGTATTGGGAGTGTGGAACCTTAGCCACTCGATCACCAGGGATGTCCTAGTGTGAAGCCATTTCGGATACTCTTCCAGATATTCCTGCATTTCACTGCTGCTTGGTCTGAAATAGCCCCCATCCTGCTCCCTTTAGCCATCCTTGGGCTGGGGCTTTCAGAAGGAAGCACCGGGGTAGGTCCAGCTGGGACAAAGGACACAGTCTTCTCTGGGTTCTGAAGCCCTCTCGCTCCTGTGTGTTCACCGCACTCACCTTTGTTTACCTGCCTCCCTCTCTGCCCAGGTATGAAGCGGCCACTGAGCCCATCTCCCGCTGGTGAGAAGGAGTCCCCCGTATCTGAAGCTGCTGAGTGCCCGCCTCGGCCCCCAGAAGCACCTAAGCCCAAGCGGGAAAGAAAACGGCCCTCGTATACCCTCTGTGACGTGTGTAACATCCAGCTGAACTCAGCGGCCCAGGCCCAGGTGCACTGTGGGGGGCGGGCCCACCAGCGGCGCCTGCGGCAGCTCAGCCTGGAAAAGACACCCCCGGGGCCAGGTCAGTCGGGAGGGGCGCTGCTCCCAGACTTGGTTCTGGGCCCCTGTAGGGGGCTCTGGGTCTCTGGTCTTTCTCTGTGGGGTCCTTTGGTCTGGGGGACCTTCAGTGGGGTCTTAGGGTCTCAAGCTCCCTAGAGGCCGTCAAGTTTTGTTTTGCAGCCGGACAGCTCTCTCTGGGGTCTCTCAGGGCCTGGGGTCTAAGGCCTCCCCTGGATCTGGGGCTCTTCCTGGGGGATCTTTTAGGATCAGTTCCCCTAAGTAGCATTTCTCCAGCCTGGAGACACCTGGAAGGTTGTTTTCCAGTTAAGGGACTCAGCAGAGTGTCCTGGTTTTCTGCTCTGGTCTCTGCAGGCCAAGGTCAGCGAGGTACACAACACGCCAGCTTAGGGCTGAGAAGTGGTCAGGGGAATGGGGGGTGGGGGGTGCAGGGGGCAGGGAAGGCCCTCCCCCTCTGGTTGCCGGACTCCTGGCCAGGATTTCGGCCTCTCCCTGGCTGCGGTGACGCTGCAGAGGTTTGGCTGGAAGAGGGCCACTGGCTACGAGGCAGATTTCTGGGCAAAGTGGGTGAATGGATTTGTGAGGATGATTCCAGTTGACAGGCGCATGGGAGTCATGGGAGAGATGGGCAGCAGTCGGCTGCTGGCGGCAGGGGAAGCAGGTTCAGAAGCAGGCCCACTGTGGGCGGGCGGGAAGGGCCGGAACTTCTGCCTGGTTCCTGAAGGCAGCCGCCAGAAGCGTGCCCTGCACACACACCCAGCAGCCCAGGGTGCTTGAGGGCTGCCTGCTGTCTGAGTGTGTGTTCATGGGGCGACCTGTGTTCCTAGTACCGTGCTGGGGCCTGGAGATGAACAAGTCCCAGTCCTATACAACACCGCACCCCCCCCCCCACCCTGCCTTGCTCCCACTAAGGCTGAAATCTGTCTTTCAGGCTGAGATAGAAAAAGAGCAGATGAGTGCTGTGGGTGGCATGTGGGATATGCCCCCATGGGTACAAAGGAGAAAGGGTGATTCTACCTGTGGGTACCACAAAAGGCCTCCTGAAGGAGGGGCTACACTGAGCTTTGGAATAGAGGTGAGGGGAAGAGGGATGTCTTGGACAGAGGTCACTGCAGGAGCAGAGCTGGGAATGCTCTAGTGGCTGGGACTGTCTCTCCCATCTGAGCATTCCTCCATAAGGGCTGGACCTCAGGACATGACTCTGAATAAGAGCACATTCGACTGTATGGATGTTTCTGGAGTGTGTGAGTGTGTTCAAAGTCACTCATTAATTCATCAAATACTTAGCTGCTGTTTGAGGTGTTCATATTTTTCTTTTTATTAGTATTTTTTCTATTGAAGTATAGTTGATTTTCAATGTTGTGTTAGTTTCAGGCATATAGCACAGTGACTCAGTTTTATATATATATATCCTGGTGGCTCAGATGGTAAAGCGTCTGTCTACAATGCGGGAGACCCGGGTTCTATCTCTGGGCCGGGAAGATCCCCTGGAGAAGGAAATGGCAGCCCACTCCAGTACTCTTGCCTGGAAAATCCCATGGACAGAGGAGCCTGGTGGGCTACAGTCCATGGGGTCGCAAAGAGTCAGACACGACTGAGCAACTCCACCACCACCATATATATATATATATATATATATATATATATATATATATATATATATATATATATATATATTCCTTTCCCCCTTTGGATTATTGGGAAAATAACAAAATATTGAGTGTAGTTCCCTGTATTATACAGTAGGTCCTTGTTGTATTTCTCTTCATTGATCTTTATTGAGATATTACTGACATATAAAAAATGTCAGTAAGTTTAAGGTGTACGGTGTGATGACTTGATACCCATATGCATTATAAAATGATTACCATAATAAGGTTAGTTCATACTGCCATCCCCTCACACAATTATGATTTTGTGTGTGTGAACTGATAACAGTTAAGATCTACTCTCTTAACAACGTTCAAGTATATAAGGCAGTATTGCCAATTAGGGGCCTCCCTGGTGGCTCAGATGGTAAAGAATCTGCCTGCAATGTGGGAGAACTGGGTTCGATCCCTGGAGAAGGGAATGGCTACCCACTCCAGTATTCTTGCCTGGAGAATCCCCATGGACAGAGGAGCCTGGAGGGCTACAGTCCATGAGGTCGCAAAGAACTGGACATGACTGAGCAGGCACACACTTGCAACAACTCACAACAATTGGGGTACATGAGAAGGAAGGGGGTGGGATGAAGGAGACATTCTGGAGTCTTTTCTGCAGGACTTGGTGACTGATGAGATATGGGGCCAAGGAAACAGGAGGTGCCAAGATGGCCCTAGCCTAGAGGGTGCTGTGGTGGGCAGTTCCATGATCAGAAAGGAGGCTCTGAGAGGGAAGTGGGGCTGGAGGGCAGGGGTGGCTGGGGAAGGCCATTCCTGTGGCCAGGGGGCTCTGCCCCACCCCTGCTCCCCTCTAACTCGGGCTCTTCAGGCCCTCTTTCTGGGCAGTGGTTCTCCTTTCTCTCCCACTATCCCAGGGTGGAGAGAGCATGTGGGGTGTGAGAGAAAGGACCACAGCACCTAGATACTGGTGGCCAGAGACAGGCTGCCCAGAGGGAGGGAGTCCCCCTTCACTCGGCTTCCCTTTCCTCACAGTCCTAGTACGGGCTAGGCGTGGGGAGTCACCAGGAGAAATGAGGCCTGGTACTCCCCTCCAGATTGCTAAACAGGACCTGGTAAGTCACCTGTCTGTGCATCCCTGAGCCCCTGGGCCCTGTGCTGGCCCCAGGCAGGATGCCAGGATTCTGCACTGAGCAGTGCTGGCCACTCAGTCTATGTGGCAGACCTTCCCACCACCATGCTAAGAGGAGTGAGCTTCACTATGGGAGCATGGCGGGAGGTGATGGCTGTGCCTAGAGCAGGGATGAAGCCAGAACCCTCAGATTTCTGGGAACCCTGGAATCCCGGGGCTCCGGTGGAGAACCGGTGCTCCATTAACCTGGTTATCTTCTAACCTACTTCAGGCCGTGACCCCCCAGCATCCACCCACCTCTCCCATGGACTCTCCTGTCTCCTTGGCCTCCTGAGAGCTGGGGGTGGGAGAGGCAGCCCACAGCAAGAGGATGCTAGCAACTTCCCCCGGGGGTGGGGTGTAGGGACCTCCATCCTGCTGAAGGCCTTTCCCAGCCAGAGCAGAGAGACCTGAGGAAGGGACTGGGTCAGAGCAGAGAGATCGAGACCTAAGGCCACAGCTGACTGGGGCTGGGACTTCCCAGGTGGCGCTATGGGTAAAGAACCTGCCTGCCAATGCGGGAGACTTAAGATATGTGGGTTCGATCCCTGGGTCGGGAAGATTCCCCTAGAGGAGGGCATGGCAACCCACTCCAGTAATCTTGCCTAGAGAACCCCATGGATAGAGGAGCCGGGTGGGCTATGGTTCATAGCATCACAAAGAGTCGGCCATGACTGAAGCAACTTGGCCCGCACTGGAAGCAGAGAGAGTTACACCTACTGGCAAGAAGCTTGGGTGAAGTGTGCGGAGCCCTTAATACACCGCTCTGTTCCTGGACGCCTGAGATCTCGGTCCTGTGGCAGCCGGGAAGGCCGCCCCGCCCGTTCCCTGGGCGGGTGCTGAGCGGGTGGGTGTGGGACGGCCCAGTCGGGCCCCTTGGAGGCTCCTGTTCTAGAAGGCCTCCTGGAGCTGTCACTCCGATTAGGGGTCTGTGAGGCTGGCGCCTTGCACAGTGACAGGCCGTCACGGGCAGTGAGGCGGGATTGTGTCTGGAGGATCCTGTCCCCGAGGCGTCAATGGGAGGGAGATGTGGGGGCCGTTCTCTCTCAGCTGCATCGCCAACGCCTGGGTCTGAGCCCTCCTTACTCAGCCTTACCCAGCTTCCACCCTGACTGAGCCTGGAGCGCCCAGGGAGGGCACTGGCTGGGAAGACCGCAGGAACCCCACCCTTCCCCCCAGCCCCTACTCCAGGTCATTCCCCTACTTGCCTTCCTCCCCACTGGTCTCACACACAGCAGGCCCTTTCATCCTTCAGGAAAGCATCTTGAGCCCTCTTTCAGCCACCCTGCCCATCCTCCTGTGAGAGGGGTGGGCACCAGGAACCCCAGCTCCAATATGGCTGAACTCAATGACCCTACTGATCATCACACACACACACATACACGCCCCTAAACAACTGTAAGTAGTTTTTGAACATCCACAGAGAGAAAGGTTTGCTGGCTCAACCCTCCTACCTCCAACCACTAGTGTGGATGTTGGGCCAGCCCCAGGCATGGGGGACAGACACCTGGACCTCGATCTGGGGGGACCAAGAGCTGTGATGTACGCCCAGCACCAAGTTGAGCATGTGCTTAGGAGATGAACTGTTTGCAAAGCACTTCTACGTGCAGCAGAGCATTCCTTTCTTACCCAGATATCCTAGAGTGTGGATGATTGGCATTCAGCCCTCGTGTTAGAAATTGAACTATATTAGAGCTCAGAGAGTGTAAGCAACAGACCTAACGGCACACAGCCAGGTTCAAATCCCAGCATCTCTGACTCTAAATCCCATCTCTTGTGCCCTCCCCACCTTGTGATTGTTAAGAGAGATGGAGCCTTAGTGTTTCAGGAATGGGGAGGGGGGATAGCCCAGAGCAGGTGGACTGGCTCCCAGGACAGGATGATCAAGTGCTCAGGACCCATGCCTTGGTGTCCTCAACTGAAAAATGGGGAGATGCCAGCCATCTCCTGCTCTGCCTAGGCTGGCCAGGGACAGGGAGGGGAACCTCCTAAATCCAGTTAGTTCCTCCCCCTGTCTCTTGGCAGGACTGACCCAGTTGGCCCATCCCCTGCCCCCCATCATTGCAACATGACACCAGAGGGGAGAGAAGGGGATTTCAGAAATGTCTTATGCTCTGGCTTAAGGGCAGTGCAGGATAGACCCTAAGGAGGACAGGAAAGCAGAGATGGAGGCAGACTGTGTTGGATTTCAGAGCAAAGATGGATGCAGTTGTATTAGATGTCCCTGTGCCT